ATTCATTACCAGAAATGTGGGACATTTTGCGTCCGCAATTGTAACCAGCGGTTTTACGCATAAATGATGATTCATCAAAAAATACAAACAAAATGGCGGCTCATAGTCTTCAAAGACAAATCGTGTTGTTAATATATTGAAGAGGAAACTCCGTGCTGACGGCTAAATTCTATTTTATTTTACTGCGATTAACTAATGTAAGATAGTCTGACATTTTTTACAACAGCAGAACCGCTATTTGTGGCACGATCGAAGAACTATTTTCCAAATTTGACGCGTTTACGCACGCATAATAAATGTATTTAGCTGAGAAATGTGCATAAATTTGCGTGATGGGCAGGGTAAGAGACTGGGAGGAGCATAATTAATTTAAAAACAAATATGGGGGAGAAGAAACGCAATGTATGAAAATTTTATCGTAGTTGTGCTGATAAAAATGGCCTCTTGTGGCATGTATGGATGAATAAAATGGCTAAGTTTAGAGGATTTTGGAAGTAGTTTCCTGCGGAATTTAGATACTTTTGTTGGCGAATATATAAACTTTGAATGTTATTGAAACAATTCCGATGCCAAGCTCAAGATTTCGCTAGATATATTTCCGTACACCAGGCTGCGTTTGTGGCGTGTATTGTCAGATTCACATGCAATATAAGGAGTTATTATGCTGGTGAATGTGATATCAATAGTGAGCTCGGGAAGTGAGTGTATTTTATTCTAGAAATAGTTGTTAGAATTAATAGATTCCTGAATCAGCACAGCATGTGAAACGATGCCAAGTAAGCGTGATTTGCGGCTCATGCATGCGATATTTGAGAAAGTTCTTATATGCCTATACTAATCCCAGCATTATCGGACGCCATTTTGTTGCGTAATTTTTTGTCATGTCCACCATCTTGACCCACATTTCTGGTAATGTTGGGCAATGCTAACTCAGTTCCAGCGGTTAATCTAATTCCAATTCTATTCTCTACTGATCTGGTGATCTGAATACATTTACAACATACAGCTCTTTTATACAATAACACAAGGACCCCACGCATATGCACTTTAAGGTTACCTTGCTTGGCTGCCAAAAGGGCGCTTTTCAGCATTATCTTATCACTTACATTACTCATGAGTCATGATGTTTCTTGCACAAACAACTAATTTGCGTACACAACTTACATTATCATAACTATCTAATTTGCGCCGCTCTCGTGATTCGTGAAGCATAATACCTTCATAATATAAGGGCATAATACCAGCAAAAAAGGGCATAATTCCCGTGATCGCTTCGAAACCTGACCAATATTCCGGTAATGAGACATTGTGTGTGATCACTGATCATGTTTCTATATGAACGATTTTGTGTGAGCCGTGAAGTAGCAAATTAGCAAATAAGGTTAGACCAAATAGTCTGTAATTTAATATATCACTTTGTCGTTTATGCGCTTAGTCTCGATCTGTTTATAAGCCTATATAAATATATACTTCTGGCTTGACGGAAGTAACTATATTTTTTCAAATGCGTTTTTTCCCACCCACTTACAAAATTCCGCACGGGACGGCGCCCCCTTTTCATTTTTGCGCCCCCCAAGAATTGCCAGCTGCGGGGGCCGTGGCCCCCCGGCCCCCCCTGCCAGCACGCCACTGCAATACAAAATCCGCAAGTTTTAGGCCTAAGGCTAAGCAAGATAGGCCGGTAAGCAAGATCTCGCTCACACTGTGTATAGTTCATATTTTTATAGTAAAAATTGCTGCGCATTTATATAGCAAGCGGGCTGCCAGATTGCCGAGATCTTGCTCGAAAGAGGCGAGATCTCGCTTACTGGGATGGAAATTTCTGCATATAAACACTCACGAGCGGGCTATAGGCCGTTTTCCAGGATGAAAGTTCAAATATACCGCCGCAAGCTATTTTTAACTTACTGTCAAAACAATAAAATATATCAAACAGAATAACAAAATTGTCCCGGCAAGCGGGATGAATTTTTCTCATATAAACACAAGAGAAATTCATCCCGCATCTCGTACTGTCTGCAGGACAGTTTGGCTTCTATATATGCATGAACAGGCTACGAAGGCATTACCGTATTGAGGCACTCGAATGTATGAAATTAATACTGGCAATTTTAAGAAGCAGGTAATAATCAGTTGCATATAATATAATATAATTTAAAGACTTATTCGGTGAATCCATTGTGCTGTATTTAGCTAAAAAATACTGGACTGACTGGACTATACAGTGATATATGTATATGTCATTGATTTTGAAAATGATTTCAAATTTGGAGCCAATATTTCAAATAAACTGTATTTTTATAACGGTCAAATGGACAAAGTTTTTTTTATATTCATATACTGTACGAAGCAATGATGCATTGTCTGACAATTGTAAACGGAAATATACACTGTATAAATAAACGTTTCACATGTACTTACATTGCAAGCCTTGCCCTTGGGCACTCTCTGTATATTTTTTCCCGTTTGTCTGAGTGTCTGACTCGTCTCTCAGAATAAGATCGAGTAATGATATCCATCTTCTCGTTGAAATTCTTCAGCGCATTCTCACTCCCTGTACTTGTATTGGCTATTATTTTGTTCTCTAAGGAGCTTGTTTTCCTCTACGATATTTTGCAACAACAAAACATACTGGTCCAGTCATATCGAAATTACAGCTAGCAAGTAACGAACTGTGACTGTGACAGCTATAAAGGCCAGACGTTTATTGTAAAAGCAACGGGACTTGGACTTCGAACTATTGTTCACAGTAGGAATCTTTCGTAGTATCAGATTTCTTCTCTACACTAGGGAGGTCACCCACGTACAAATCAAATCCGCCTTCGTCCAAAAAGCAACGAGCAAAGTAAAAATTGGGCTTGTTAACATATAATTGAGTAATTCGCAAATTGATTCCATCCATAGTTCTTCTATAATCGTAAACGGCTTATGTTTACACCGTCAGATCGAGGTCTTATTACACAGCCTACAGGGGATCTGTATGGTGGCCCAGCAGCGCCATAGCATTTTCCTATATTTTTATTTAATTAATTTTGATTTTAAATACATTTTTAAATAAAATTACAATACACACTAGCAAAGTAAAAACATATTAAGATTAAATTTAAAATAAAAAAGAAACAAAATAAAAACAAATTAAAATTAAAATTAAAACTGAATAAAAATAAAATGAAAATTCCACATGGCCCATAAGCGCCATAGCATTTTCCTATATTTTTATTTAATTAATTTTGATTTTAAATACATTTTTTAATAAAAATACAATACACACTAGCAAAGTAAAAACATATTAAGATTAAATTTAAAATAAAAAAGAAACAAAATAAAAACAAATTAAAATTAAAACTGAATAAAAATAAAATGAAAATTCCACATGGCCCATGAGCGCCATAGCATTTTCCTATATTTTTATTTAATTAATTTTGATTTTAAATACATTTTTTAATAAAAATACAATACACACTAGCAAAGTAAAAACATATTAAGATTAAATTTAAAATAAAAAAGAAACAAAATAAAAACAAATTAAAATTAAAACTGAATAAAAATAAAATGAAAATTCCACATGGCCCATGAGCGCCACAGCATTTTCCTATATTTTTATTTAATTAATTTTGATTTTAAATACATTTTTTTAATAAAAATACAATACACACTAGCCAAGTAAAAACATATTAAGATTAAATTTAAAATAAAAAAACAACAAAATAAAAACAAAGTAAAATCAAAACTGAATAAAAATAAAATGAAAATTCCACATGGCCCATGAGCGCCATAGACCAAAATGCCTTGCGGGCGGTGGACAGCAGCCTTTGCCCAATCACGTTCCCCATACGTGCCCATTCCCTTAACCTGCAAGCGGGCATCGAGCGAGATGCCCTTTGAGTTTGCCCTTTCCTCTTTAAACTGTCAAAACATGGCTGACAAACAAAACACGGGGAGAAAATTTCAAGAGAAAATGAAGGACAAACGCTGCGCGAAGAAAGCAACAAAGACAACGAAAGGCAAAGGTCAAGAAGGCGAGAAGGAGGAGTTGATAGTTCAACGATTAAGCGCTGAAGTTCATGGCAAAGCCCAAAAATATAGTCGAGTTGGCCCGCGCGAATTTGTCGAATTTAGCGATATGGAGATGACGGTGGAAAACATTAAAAGAGCATGTACGGCGTACTACAGGAAAAGTGTGGGACCAGGGATGGTGTGTGATATATTGGCCGGTGATCAAGGCCCTTCATGTAAAACCATCAAACAAATCCCGAACTTGAAACTCATACATGTTCGTTTCATACCTGAGATTGATGGCGACCTCGAGGCGATCGAGGAAATTAAAGCTGAAGCCAGTCAAAGTTGTCCTGAAACGAGTAATCAGAGTGTGAATGACTTTGGCCAGAGTGTGAAGGTTCCCAGAAGCTTTGCCTTTGGTTCGCCACCGAGGATGAATAAAAAACCCAAGCTCGTGCCTAAAAGTTTGTCGGTATCAACCATACTACAATTGGGTAAATTGGTGCAAACAAAAACAACATTAATAAAGTTGTATTCATTTAATTTTGAGTCTTTGATAT